TAAAATATCAGAAAGATCCCAATCATTATCATCATGATCAATCCCCTGCTGGACGGAGGAAGGCCTCCATAGTTTTACAACACAATGTCCACAAATACAAAGCATTTCACTCGACAAGAAACCCAAAATCTCCAATGACCAGCGGTGCAAATTCCACATTGCCATTCCGGAGACAAGTCTGACCCGTAGGGCAACTGCCGATGGACTTCCCACAAAGTGGTACGCAATTGTATCGACCGCGAAGGGATGATGATACTGAATCATACCCCGCCCCTTTCTCACAATTATAACTCGCAGTCTCTGAACTAACCGCGTGCCGCTGTGATGATGGTGATGATGATGTTTGGTGGTGATGTTGGTATTGGTGGTGGTGTTGATGGTGTTCGTGATGACGATGGTGTTGGTGATGATGACGATGGTGTTGGTGGTGATGATGGTGTTGGTGGTGACGATGACGATGGTGATAATGGTGGTGATGATGGTGATAATGGTGGTGATGATGGTGATAATGGTGGTGGTGATGATGGTGTTGGTGGTGACGATGACGATGGTGTTGGTGGTGATGATGGTGATAATGGTGGTGGTGATGATGGTGATAAGTGTGACACCCTCCACGTGGCCTCGTGACCCCGAGACTGTCCTTGACACGCAGCTCGCTCTAATTGGGGTAATTGCGTGAGAGGCCCTCCCCCCCTCCTTCTCGAACTCCCGCTGCCCCCCGCGGCGCGATAACAGATTTTAATCGCCGATGACCCCCCCCCCCCCCGCATGCCCTCCCCCTTGCGAGCGGCTCCCATTGCCGCGTGGGATCAAGCGGTCCCGGTCAGAGGTCAGTGCTCTCGTGAGTCCCACGTCCAGTTTGATGGTGCAGTCAGAGTCGGCAGGAACCCATTCACTCCGCTCACTCGCTCGCTCGTCACTCCTCTAACGCGACTACCACGGGACACGGTTTCCCGTGAACGTCACTTCGTTCATTCCTCCGCCCGTGTTGAGGACCCGGTTCTAGTTCTGCCAGGGAAGTTTTCCTCCGAACCGCAATTGCACGCGCGGTGAGGTTCGGCGAAGTTCCGCTCAAACCATCAGGGCGCTCAGCTGCAGACTCTGCAGAGGCAACTCGAAGCGTTCGGCACAGCGGGTTCCCGTGTCCGCCTGCTCGTGCCTCTTCGTCTGCCTCTTACATTTGTCCGTCCGTTCGTCTGTCGGTCTGTCCCTCTGTTCGGTTCTCCGTCTGTTTGTCCGTCCACTTGTCCGTCTGTCTGTCGATCTGTCTGTCTGTTCGCCAGGCTGTGTCCGTCCATCCGTCTGTCAGTTCGCCAGTCTGTCTGACTAAAAAAATGACCTGTACTTTAACCACAAACACCTTCACGGGTCGTTGAGAACGTCCACACCACGTCGGCTTCATCGTCGCCATGGTGCGAGACTCCAACGCGTGAGAAATTTCCGTTAAAAAAAAAACCGCTCAGCGGTTTCCCCTGAAGGAGAACAGCACCCGGACTGGGCGAGCCGCCGTGCGCGGTGTGCAGGAATCGCTACAGCGGCCGCCCCAGTCAATACGGCCGGCGTTTAATAACCGCGACAACACTCGTCCGCGCCGTCTCCTTCACTCGCAGCGGACGTTAAAGATCCCGTGACGGCATTCACAAGAGTGAGGCCATCGCGTGCCAGTGGCGTTAGTGTCCAAATTTGGCGAAATTCGAAAATGACACCGCAAAAGATCACTTGGGATCACACGCGCACACAGAAGCAGCAGCAATCATCGCCCCCTACTGGCGGACCAATGCCCCCGGGACAGGCTTGCAAATAACACTCATTCGGGTCTCTTCGGTTCTGCCCTGGTCACACAAAATCAACAAGAAACGCATTGATGAGAATGCCCACGAGGGGTGGGCAATCGATTACCATCAATGAACTCGGTGCAATCACCTCTCACTTACGATTGACACATCACCAACATGCACATCAATGACGCTAAGTGCATATACAACGGTCACCCGAATAGCCTTTAACAGACTGCTGTTGGCGAGCACCTATTAAGGCCGGCACGGTGGCACACGAGGGGGTGGGTGGCCAGCACCACGCCGGACTGCCTTTGTCTCCCCAGTGGCGATGTTTACACACCGCAACAGATACTGATTTGAGGCTGAGTCGACCTAGGGGAGGCCGGTTGAAATAATCGTCACTGGTATTGGCCTTCAGCGGGAATCGAACTCGGGTCGCCGGGTTTGTAGCACAGTGCCCTAACCACTGCGCCACCGCTCCCCACTTGTCTCTCCGCACCATAAAAAATTACGTGTTTTTTACACATCCCAACAGCCACGCGAACTTCTTGCTGCAATGTTTCGGCAGCAGTATCAGGTCAACACGCAGATAGCGCTGGGCCGGCTTCGGCACTCAAACGTCTCGTCGTCAGCAGAGCGGGACTCGCTTGGACGGCCCTTGCTGGTGGCAGGGATTGTTCAGAGATGCGGCCACAGTGAGAGCCTCCCCTGTGCCGCACGGGGCTCATTGGACGCTTAAGTCGAGGGGAATTCGCCAGCGAAGTGAGAATCCGCGTGTCCACACTGCGCCCGCATCGCCACGCTCACTCGAGCTGCGGTAACCACCGTCCCCCCCCCGCCCCGAGCGAGCCGCCACACTGAGTCCAGGTCCGCGTGTGGTGGGGTAGAGTGTGGGTACTCCGACCTTGCCGTATGCGCCCATGTCAATACAGATGATGGTCACGCACACCACGCGTACACACACACACACACAACTACCGGATTCTGTATAATATAGATAACTCACAAGCACTCGTCAACAACGCTATGGCCTTAAAATAAATATATCATTGGTGACGTTTCGGGCAATGACCCTTTACAGCACATCGCGTTGTTTGTTGTCTGTGCTTTGGCCCAACGCAGCAGCATCCATCACCACCAAATACATTGTTTAATTACCGGATTATAAGACCCCCCCCTCCACGCACACAAATTATCGATTACACATACAGGGGGTGGAAAGTGCGTCTTATAATCCGGTGCATTCGGTAATAGGCAGGCGCTCTGTCCGCTCACACCGTGGGTAGTAGTTGTTGTTGGTTGTTGTTGTTGTTTTGGCGAGAAACGGCGTGCCGAACTGAGGCAGCATCCCCGATGCAAAGACAAAGACCCCCCGTCTAGCTTTAACAGGCTGTTGGGACAAGTGCTGTTAGCGAGTAGCACCTGTGATGACCGTCACGCGAGGGGATGGTGCACACAACACCACGCCCGGCCGCCTTTGTCTCCATCGAGGCGATGTTGACACATCGCACCGGGTCGTGAGCGGGGATCGAACTCGGGGCCTCTGCCGTGTTTGTAGCATAGCGAGGCGCGCTAACAGCGACACGCCGACATCGAATCTGTGCCGTGAATGTGCAATGTGTTAGTCTGCGCCGAGATACATTCTAACACGCACCGACAGCGTAACGCGCACTTGCAAAGACACAGATCTCCCGCGTAGCCTGAACGGACTGTTGGGCGGGCAGGTCACACACTCACACACTGAGACGCACTCACACACTACCAGACGTGAACACGGAAACACTAACACCCCCGGATAACACGAACGCAAACACACACAAACAAACACGCATTCTAACACGTACAAAACACCCTCACACGCTCTCTCACATACTTACACGCCCAACACACACTTAGGCAAACACAAACACAACAGCCAACCACGCACGTGCACACGCATGCATTCTTATACACTCACTCACTCGCACGCACTCACACACTCACTCACACGCACTCACACACTCACACTCACACACACGCACTCACACTCACGCACTCTCACACACACACGCACTCACACTCACACGCACTCACACACGCACACGCACTCACACACTCACACGCACTCACAAACAAACACTCTCACACTCACACACTCACATGCACTCACTCGCACTCTCACACACACACGCACTCACACTCACTCTCTCACACACTCACACGCACTCACACTCGCACTCACACACACACACACTCACTCTCTCACACACTCACACGCACTCACACTCGCACTCACACACTCACACGCACTCACACTCACTCACACACTCGCACACTCTCACACACGCACTCACACACTCACACACTCGCACCGACACAATCAGCATGCACAGACGAACAACCTACGCGCTAACACCCCCATACAAAGACAAAGATCCCCGTATAGTCGAAAGAGACTGTTGGGGCAAGTGCTGTTGGCGAGCACCTATGAAGGCCGGCACGGCGCACGAGGGGGTGGATGGCCAGCACCACGCCCGACCGCCTTTGTCTCCCCAGCGGCAATGTTTACACACAGCATCAGGTAATTATAGGAGGCTGAGTCGACCTAGGGGAGGCCCAGAACCGATTCAGATAACAGTCACTGGTGTTGGCCGTGAAGGGGAATCGGACTCGGGTCGCCGGGTTCGTAGCGCAGCATAGCGCTCGACACCCACTCACTCGAGACACACACGAAACAGATGATACAATGCTGCTGCGTTGGCAGCGGTTCACAAAGAATAACAACTCAACACATTCCGTGTCAATATCAACAACACCGCGTGGCCTTACAATGAAAACAAAATGTAGGTGCACGTACTTCCGTTGTAAACGTTTCGGGCAATGGCCCTTCTTCATGGCACACAGGCAGCACGGCCATGGGAGACGGAGTGAACGACGCCGCGGTTGGAGACTGCGCTACCCTCAGACAACGTGGCCCTGACCATCCGAGTCCCCTGCGTGCACACGTGTGTGTGTGTACGTGTGTGTGTGTACGTGTGTGTACGTGTGTGTGTGTACGTGTGTGCGTGTGTGTGCGTGTGTGCGTACGTGCGTGTGTGTGTACGTGTGTGTGTGTGTGCGCGTGTGTGTGTACGTGTGTGCGCGTGTGTGTGTACGTGTGTGTACGTGTGTGTGTACGTGTGTGTGTGTGTGTACGTGTGTGTGTACATGTGTGTGTTTGTACGTGTGCGCGTCCCCGCCCACCTTTGTCTCCCAGGATGCCGTCGATGCTGTGCTTCGCCTTCTTGTCGCCGTCGTCGCCGAAGTCCTTCTTCTCGGCGCCCTCCTCCTCCTCCTCCTCGTCGTCGCGTTTGCCGAACTTGGCGCGCAAGATGCGGCTGATGGAGCTCACTGCGAGCAGCAGCAGCAGCAGCACACAGACAGCAGCACACAGACAGCAGAGACAGCAGCACAGAGACAGCAGCACAGAGACAGCAGCACAGAGACAGCAGCACAGAGACAGCAGCACAGAGACAGCAGCACAGAGACAGCAGCACAGAGACAGAGACAGCAGCAGCACACAGACAGCAGCAGCAGCACACAGACAGCAGCACAGAGACAGCAGCAGCACAGAGACAGCAGAGACAGCAGCACAGAGACAGCAGAGACAGCAGCACAGAGACAGAGACAGCAGCACAGAGACAGAGACAGCAGCACAGAGACAGCAGCAGCACAGAGACAGCAGCAGCACAGAGACAGCAGAGACAGCAGCACAGAGACAGCAGCACAGAGACAGCAGCAGCACAGAGACAGCAGAGACAGCAGCACAGAGACAGCAGCACAGAGACAGCAGCACAGAGACAGCAGCACAGAGACAGAGACAGCAGCACAGAGACAGCAGCACAGAGACAGCAGCACAGAGACAGCAGCACAGAGACAGCAGCACAGAGACAGCAGCACAGAGACAGCAGCATAGAGACAGCAGCACAGAGACAGAGACAGCAGCACAGAGACAGAGACAGCAGCACAGAGACAGCAGCACAGAGACAGCAGCAGCAGCATAGAGACAGCAGCAACACAGAGACAGCAGCAGCACAGAGACAGCAGCAGCACAGAGACAGAGACAGCAGCACAGAGACAGAGACAGCAGCACAGAGACAGAGACAGCAGCACAGAGACGACCGCTGTTGAGGAGGAGGAGGCGCCCCCCCCCCCCCCCCCCGAGTCGCTCCCCCACGCGGGGCTCTCAGAGGGCCCCCCCCCGCCCGGGCCCACAAACTCGAGCACGAGAAGTCCTCGACTCGTCGATGTTCATTTATAAATCATCGCTGTAGACGCCGCACGTGTAGCGCGTGATGCGTGCGTGTGTGCGTGTGTGTGTGCGGGTGTGCGCGTGTGTGCGTCTATCGTTGAACTGTGTGTGCGTGTATGTGCGGGTGTGCGCGTGTGTGCGTCTATCGTTGAACTGTGTGTGTGTGTGTGTGCGTGTGTGTGTGCGTGTGTGTGTGCGTGTGTGTGTGCGTGTGTGTGTGCGTGTGCGTGTGTGCGCGTTTATCGTTGAACTGCGTGTGTGTGCGCGTGTGTGTGCGCGTGTGTATATGTGTGTGCGTCTATCGTTGAACTGTGTGTGCGAAACGCGTGGGGAGGCGGTGGTCGGGTGACTCCCGTCGCGTCCATTCATTCTGCGGTTGTAGTTTAGTTTCAACCACTTGTTCAAATGTCACTGTCGTCATTTGTATTCTTGTTTACATTATTTCTTCCGGACAATAAACGATCCCTCGCGGTGGAGTTGTTTTGTTGTTTCAGTTGCTGCTGCTGCTGCGAGCGAAGTGGCGCGTGTGTGCACGATGGCCGCGTGACGACGGCACACGCGACATTTGTAAATCTACAACTTACACAGGGCACATTTATACAATGAACATCGCACCCAGCCAACAGCACACACACACACATATATACATAGACACACACACACACATATATATAAAATATGAGCAGTAAGTACACGATGCACATCACCGGTACCATGCAGCGTACGCTCCTGGCTCTAACAAGTGGCAGCTGTGTTGCGCGAGCGAGTTTTAATGACAGACGTTAATGGGCTGAGACTGGCGGCTCGAGTGAGCGAGTGGTGATTTATTTGGGAGATGGTTTCGCGTGGAGGCTGCAGCAGCAGCGGCAGCTCTGTGTCTGTACGAGAGAGAACGAGGAGAGAGTTCCGACTCGCGTTCTCTCTGTGTCTGTGTCTGTACGAGTGAGAACGCGAGTCCCGACTCGCGTTCTCTCTGCAGGGACACGGCTCATCACCCCCCCACCCCCCCACACACCGAATTGACTCCTCTGCCGGGGCTATTCGGCCGCCAGCCTATGCGAGTTATTGTAGACATCAACTCAGGATGACTTATCAGAATTACATTTCACAGAAGAGCTTTACAAGAATGTATTTTGTGTTACGTGATTACGCGTCATGCATTGCGTGCGTGCGGAGAGGGCGATGACCACCAGATCGACGCGTGGTGTGCGAACACCGCGCGCCTCGGACACGCGTTTGATGGTCGTCCGGTTTTATTATTTGGCGGAAATGTTCCGCGAGTCCTTCTCTAGCGGTCCAGTGGCGCCGCGTTAAACCCCCTCGGCCGCGTGAATCGTCGAGTTGCTCGCTCGCCGTGAGAGTTCCGGCTGCGTCGACTGTCGCGTGCAACGTCGAGTCGGTGACGCGTGCGCGCCGGGGCGATAGCCGGAGACGGCGACACTGGACGCACGTGGACATCCATCCACGTGCGCACGGGGACATCCATCCACGTGTGCATGGGGAACGGAGTCCAGCCACTACCCACAGAGGATCGTTATACACGCTCCAGCATGTACACACACACACACACGTGTGTGTACACAGCAGCAGCTCTGTGTCTGCGTTTGTACACGCGCGTGTGTGTTTACATGCTGGAGTGTGTACACACGTAAACACAATCTGTGTTTAAGCGCGGGTGTGCGCGCGCGCGTGTGGATGCAGTCTATAGCAACTCCACACACACATGCAGTCTATAGCAACTCCACACACACATGCAGTCTATAGCAACTCCACACACACATGCAGTCTATAGCAACTCCACACACACATGCAGTCTATAGCAACTCCACACACACATGCAGTCTATAGCAACTCCACACACACATGCAGTCTATAGCAACTCCACACACACATACAGTCTATAGCAACTCCACACACACATGCAGTCTATAGCAACTCCACACACACATGCAGTCTATAGCAACTCCACACACACATGCAGTCTATAGCAACTCCACACACACATGCAGTCTATAGCAACTCCACACACACATGCAGTCTATAGCAACTCCACACACACATACAGTCTATAGCAACTCCACACACATACAGTCTATAGCAACTACACACACGTACCGTCTATAGCAACTACACACACGTACAGTCTATAGCAACTACACACAAGTACAGTCTATAGCAACTACACACACGTACAGTCTATAGCAACTACACACACGTACAGTCTATAGCAACTACACACACGTACAATCTATAGCAACTACACACACGTACAGTCTATAGCAACTACACACACGTACAGTCTTTAGCAACTACACACAGGTACAGTCTATAGCAACTACACACAGGTACAGTCTATAGCAACTACACACAGGTACAGTCTATAGCAACTACACACAGGTACAGTCTATAGCAACTACACACAGGTACAGTCTATAGCAACTACACACAGGTACAGTCTATAGCAACTACACACACATACAGTCTATAGCAACTACACACAGTATAGTCTATAGCAACTACACACACGTACAGTCTTAGCAACTACACACAGGTACAGTCTATAGCAACTACACACAGGTACAGTCTATAGCAACTACACACAGGTACAGTCTATAGCAACTACACACAGATACAGTCTATAGCAACTACACACAGGTACAGTCTATAGCAACTACACACATACAGTCTATAGCAACTACACACAGATACAGTCTATAGCAACTACACACAGGTACAGTCTATAGCAACTACACACATACAGTCTATAGCAACTACACACAGGTACAGTCTATAGAAACTACACACAGATACAGTCTATAGCAACTACACACAGGTACAGTCTATAGCAACTACACACAGGTACAGTCTATAGCAACTACACACACGTACAGTCTATAGCAACTACACACACGTACAATCTATAGCAACTACACACACGTACAGTCTATAGCAACTACACACACGTACAGTCTTTAGCAACTACACACAGGTACAGTCTATAGCAACTACACACAGGTACAGTCTATAGCAACTACACACAGGTACAGTCTATAGCAACTACACACACAGGTACAGTCTATAGCAACTACACACACATACAGTCTATAGCAACTACACACAGTATAGTCTATAGCAACTACACACACGTACAGTCTTTAGCAACTACACACAGGTACAGTCTATAGCAACTACACACAGGTACAGTCTATAGCAACTACACACAGATACAGTCTATAGCAACTACACACAGGTAGAGTCTATAGCAACTACACACATACAGTCTATAGCAACTACACACAGATACAGTCTAGAGCAACTTCACACGCATACAGTCTATAGCAACTCCACACAGATACAGTCTATAGTAACTACACACATACAGTCTATAGCAACTACACACATACAGTCTAGAGCAACTTCACACACATACAGTCTATAGCAACTTCACACAGGTACAGTCTATAGCAACTCCACGAGCTGGGATGCGGAACGCGAAGTCGCAGCGAGCGTGTCATATGAACGTCGGCAGAGTGATGCCACAGATGTAGAGTGGCCCTCCAAGAGAGAGAGAGGAGACAGAGCGACGTGTGACGGTACGAGAGAGGAAGGCAGCGCGGTGGGTATCGCCTGAACAGGCGACACACGCACGGGGAGTGGGGGTGATGATGATGGTGATGAGTGAAGATGCGGGAGAGATTCGTTTTGGATCACTAGGGATGCTGATGATGATTGTGAGTGAAGATGTGGGGGTGATGAGGTGTTCACGAGCGAGCGCACGCGTGAACATCGCTCAGAGGTTTGCCAGAAGAATCTGCGGTTAAAAGCGATTCCGATTTCACTCAGAACACAGACAAAGATCCCCACGACAGCCTTCACAGACTGTTGGGACAAGTGCTGTGCACACAAAGTAGACCTGAACAATGACAAGCGGATGTAATATTGACACAATTGTTTCTCTACAGGCACGTAACTCTCTGTGTGATCGTGTACACACCACACAGTGATCGTGTACACACCACACAGTGATCGTGTACACAACACACAGTGATCGTGTACACAACACACAGGCTCTGCGTAGAACACAAAGAAACAACGACATCCGTTCGCCACCAAGTTGCGTGGACGTCATCACGAGGCTTGTGCCAGGCTATGTGCAGCTTGCACCTATGTATACATTATTAAACACACGCACATGTATATATATACACACACACACAACTCTACACACACCGACACATAGACGCATATATGTACGTTGCTAGTGTAAAACACGTCCGTGTGTTCGCACGCATGTATGAACGCACGCATAAACACGTGCACACACATATACTACGGTTGTTAAACGATAACCGGGTAAATCGGTAACCATTTTTAAAACGAATACCGGTTCAAAAAGGGAGAAACCGGTAACCGTTTCTAGTGGAATTCTAGAAACGAATGCGCCGGTTTGATACGCGCGGACGGACAAACCGCACGGCGAGAACGGTGACGGCGCGGCCCACCACCACCACCACACTACCACCACCACCACACCCCACTACCACCACCACCACCACACTACCACCACCACTACCACCACCACACCCCACTACCACCACCACCACCACACCCCACTGCACACTACCACTACCACCACCACCACACGGCACCCCACCACCACCACACTGCACCACCACCACACCCCACTACCACCACCACCACCACACCCCACTACCACACCACCACCACCACACTGCACCACCACCACACTGCACCCCACCACCACCACCACCACACTGCACCCCACCACCACCACCACCACACCACTACCACCACACACCACCACCACCACCACACTGCACCCCACCACCACAACTACCACGCCGCCCGCAGGTCGACTAACGGTGGTTGCTACCCATTGTCCACCCAGCAGCAGCTACTGCTGGGTGGACAAGGAGGTGCAGGGGTGAAGGAGAGGGGGGTGAAGGAGGGGGGGGGGGCTGAATGAGGGGGGCGAAGGAGGGGGGGGTGAAGGAGGGGGGGTGAAGGAGGATGAGGGGGGTTGAAGGATGGGGGGTGAAGGAGGGGGGGATAAAACAAAAACTTTCCACATCGTCTCAGCTGCCGCGCCGGGCGCTGGGATCGAACCGGCCACCTCTGCATTGCAAGTGCGGCGGTGGTTTGTTGCTTGACATTTCTACACGTGTGGCAAAACCCGTGGCCGGGTTTTTTTTACGATTTTAATGGCGAAAGTGGTCATGCGGAGATCCCTATCTTAACGGCCTGACACGCGCACACACGTGCAGACATGCACACACGTGCAGACATGCACACACGTGCAGACATGCACACACATGCAGACATGCACACACATGCAGACATGCACACACGTGCAGACACGCACACACGCCGTACAGACATGAAGACATAATCAGACGCATGAAAAACACATACCTATATCGAGATATATATATACACACACCTAAGTATACACGTCAACATATACACATTTATATAAATAAGTGTACGTATACATGTACATAAGAATACAATACAGTGCGCCAAATATACAAACACGTACACACACGCGTGTACACATTTGTACAGATGAACACCTTTTGCACATGAACACACAAACACACACACACCTGTCACACACACCTGCACACAATTTGACACACACACACGTGACATACACATTTATACACACATGCATACGAACGAATACAAACACACCTGTACACAACGTACCACACACACCGGTCACATCGATACAGAAGGTGAAAATCTGTCGCATACCTACGCACACACACACACACACAATCAGCACACACATACATCTGTCACACACACACACACCTGTCACACACACACGCACGAGGCCCGCAGTGCGCGGGTCGCGCTGCCCGCGCTCGCGCCGCGCATACCCGAGGGCACCGAGGCGCGGTCACACACGCCGTCCTTCAGCAGCCGGTCCCGGATCTCCCAGCTGAACATACCCGGGTTCTCGCGCTTGTACTCCTCGATCTTTCGCTCCACGTCGGTGCTCGCCACCTGCTGCACGTGGTCGACACGGGGGGGGGGGGGGGGGGACACGCCGCCCAGTCAGCGCCCGGCGCGGCCCGATTCGCACGATCACTCACTCAGGCACTCACTCGTACGCTCACTCACAGACTCACTCTCACTCACTCTCTCACAGACTCAATCACACACTCACTCATTCGTACACTCACTCACAGACTCACTCACTCAGGCACTCACAGACTCACTCACTCAGGCACTCACTCGTACACTCACTCACTCACACAGACTCACTCACTTAATCACTCAGGCACTCACTCACAGACTCAATCACTCAGGCACTCACTCGTACACTCACTCACTCACAGACTCACTCAGGCACTCACTCGCGAGCCCAATTAATCACAGACGCGTGTACTTACTGATTCACAGACTCACCGACGCATTCACTCACTCACCCACGATCCAATCATTCGCTCATCTACTCTTCATTCACTCACTCACAGACTCAGCCACGCGCGCGCCTCGACTCACTCCTTCACTCATTCATCATCTCGTTCATCCACTCATTCATCCACTCATTCATCCACTCACAGACACGACCACGACGCCTCTCGCGTGCTCACGGCGACCCGCTTCAGAGGAGCAGCACGCGTGTATTCGTTCGTTCGTTCGTTCCTTCGTTCATTCGTTCGGTCCCTCGAACTGGTGCATCCCTAATGTGTGTACGCGGCTGATCTTAGCGTCGATTAACGCAACTAATCGCGTTAATATCTGCGTCGAGTCGTTCGCTTCATCTGGAACGAGCTCGTGCTCCCCTCCGTGTTGTGTAAATGTTTTAGCGCTCGTGGTGTTCACGAGAGGGGTGAGCGCGCACACGGTCCGTGCCGAACGCCCACCGCGTGCAGCGAGCCGCGTGCGTTGGGGCCGGTGTCTGTCGATTGGGTTGGCGTGGCCCCAACAGTCGCTAGAGGCCGCTACATTGACAACGTGTTGTCTGAATAACATCAAACGATCGATAATTGCATCGAATCGAGACCCTGCATCGCGACGATTAATTTGATTCGCCAGCTGTGCATCGTTAAAACTAAATATATATTTATATATATACACATGTGTAAGATTCCATCAGCCTTGTAAAACACCAGCGGCGCATGCCTGCGAGCCGACAGAGCCCGTGGATATCCACTCACGTGTTCTCAGAGAACTGTAATCCACATAAGCACACCGCGTGCCCCGAAGAGATACAAACACGGATGTACAACAATCTGTATTCGTACACGCGTACACACACGTGTTCAGCTCCGTCTCGTTACACGTGTGTGTGTGTGCGCTGGCGACCCCATCGCTCGTGTGCCTTGCCGGCCTTCATAGGTGCTCGTAAACAGCACTTGCCCCAAAATTCTGTATCGGCTATACGGGGAATCTTTGTCTTTGTGTCGTCTCTAACATCCGAAGACCCCCACACCATTTGTGTCTCCCAATTTGTAGATGTTTTCCATACCGCACAAGGTGCGCATTTAAGGTTGAGTCGACCTAGGGGAGGCCCAAGACCGGTTATAATAATCGTCAGTGGTGTTGGCCGTGAGCGGGAATCGAATCGAACACATGTGGCGGGGTTTGGAGCGCAGCGCGCTAACCGCTACACTACCGCTCCCCACACATACATATACAACATGCAAAAAGACACACACACACCGGTATGCATGAAACACACACATCTACAAACACACCAGTATGCAAAAAACACACACACACATCGGCATGCATAAAACACACACACACACACACATCCACACACACACATGCGCGCGGTGTGAATGTGCGTGCGTGCGCGCTCGTCAGTAAAACCGGGCAGCGACAATGAAACGAGAGCCACGGTCTGGAGTGCCGACACGCGGCGTGGTATTTACTGCGTCAACACCGCCGATGCGGCAACAGCGGGAAGCTCACCAAAGTTGTCGAAGGCTTGATGATGATGATGGTGACGGTGACGATGATCGCGGGGGTTGGTGATGAATGTGGTGGTGGCAGTGTTCGTGGTCGTGACAATGATTCCAAGAATAATAATCATTACAATTCTCCGCTCTTTCCACAGCGCTGAACCACCACATCCCAGACTTTAACCCGAACTCCACCAGGTGGCTTGCAGAGGAATTCCCCGATGCCAAGTCGATGCCGGCGCTAAGCGCGCGCGACAATGCACTGGGTGCGATATTCATTGTAACGACACCAACTGTGCACGTTGTAGATTTTAAATGTTAGTAGACACGTGCCATTACGCGTTTGCTGTATATATGTGTGTGTATATATATGTGTGTGTGTGAATGTGCGTCTCGCCGTTAGCTAGTGGGGAGCGGTAGTGTCGCGTTTAGCGCGCTACGCTACGAACCCGACCCACCCGAGTTCGATTCCCGCTCACGGCCATCAACACCAGGTGCGATTATCTGAACCGATATTGGGCATCCCCTAGAACGACTCAGCCTCAATTGAGTACGTGGTGCGATGTGCGAAACATCGCCCCCGAGGGAGACAAAGGCGGCAGGACGTGATGCTGGACACACACCCTCTCGTGTGCCGTGCCGGCCTTCATAGGTGCTCGCTAACTGCACTCGCCCCAACAGTCTGTTGAGGTCATACGGGGATCTTTGTCTTTGTTTGGTGTGACTGAGTGTCTGTGTGTGCACGTGCCATTCTGACTTTGCCGTGCAGGTTTGCATTGACGCCCGGGACACTTGACAACGAGATGTCCCATCTTGACTGAGACGTTCCATTTCCAGCAAACGTTCCATCTCGAGGAATTATCCAAGTGAGATGTTATTTTAATCAATTAATTAAAAAAAACGTTCACGAACCAATTCGGCTGCGTTCAATCCCACGTGGAGTAACGGGATGGTGGTGGTCCCGGGATCGACTCTGAGTGACCCCTCCCCTGAGGCCCCCCTGTACCTCTCTGGGTCTCTACAAGTCTCTGAGTGAGTCTCTCTGAGTGAGTCTCTCTGTGTCTCTATGGGTGAGTCTCTCTGTGTCTCTATGGGTGGGTCTCTCTGAGTCTATCTGGGTCTCTCTGAGTGAGTCTCTCTGAGTGAGTCTCTCTGAGTGAGTCTCTCTGAGTGAGTCTCTCTGAGTGAGTCTCTCTGAGTGAGTCTCTCTGAGTGAGTCTCTCTGAGTGAGTCTCTCTGAGTGAGTCTCTCTGAGTGAGTCTCTCTGAGTGAGTCTCTCTGAGTGAGTCTCTCTGTGTCTCTCTGGGTGGGTCTCTACAAGTCTCTCTGAGTGAGTCTCTCTGAGTGAGTCTCTCTGAGTGAGTCTCTCTGAGTGAGTCTCTCTGAGTGAGTCTCTCTGAGTGAGTCTCTCTGAGTGAGTCTCTCTGAGTGAGTCTCTCTGAGTGAGTCTCTCTGAGTGAGTCTCTCTGAGTCTCTCTGTGTGGGTCTCTCCGAGTCTCTACAAGTCTCTGAGTGTGTCTCTCTGTGTCTCTCCGAGTCTCTCTGGGTGAGTATCTCTGAGTCTCTCCGAGTCTCTCTCCGAGTGATCTGCGTGGAGTCGCGCGAGGCGCCTTCTGTTCATGGGCAGGAGGTGAGGGGGGAGGGGGCGACGAGTCACGACGGGGGGGAGGCGAGGGGGGGGGGTGATTGGGGGATGCGACCGGGGGGGGGGGGTGCACGGGAACCCCGAGGCCGAATCCGGGGCCGGCCTCGGGGTTGTGAGGGTCGCCTGGGGTGCGGGGGGGGTGGGGGCTAAGGGAGGAGGGGGGCGCCAGGCTGTTGCTCACTGCGTGAGATTGGGGGTGGTGGTTGGGGTGGAGGGCGAGTGGTGGTGGTGGTTGTGGTGGTTGTGGTAGTGGGGGTCGATGTCATCCAAGTCGTCTCATCCATCTAACCCGCAACTCCTGGGTCTGTCCCGTGACCTGCCAGCAGCGAGCCTTCCACACTTCACGTGATAGCCTCCAAGTGCACCTAGCCTGGCACAAGCGCTGTGGTAACGTCGTCGCTACTGAGTGGTAGATGGTGGCTATTGCTGTTGATAGTACTGCTATGATTGCTGTTCAATGATGGTGGTCGTGGAGGTGTAAGTGGCGGTAACGGTGATGCTGATGCTTGGTCGTGGTGGTGCTGCTTCTGTTCGTGCTGCTGATGCTGCCGCTTGTCGTTTATGGCCATATGGGGCGAGTGGCTGGCTGAGTGAGTGAATGAGTGTCCGCTGAATGAATGAGTCAGTGGGTGAGCGTCTGTCTGGCTGGGCTGAGTGAGTGAATGAGTCAGTGGGTGAACGTCTGGTGAGGTGCCATCCATCCCACCCATCCCACCCATCCCATCCGTCCATCACTCTCACCCGGGGCTTGCTGCCTCCGATGGCCCCGGGCCGGATGGATCCGGTCTCCTGGTATCGGCACAGGATCTTGGAGACGCAGCCGTGCGAGACGCGGAGCTGGCGGGAGATGACGCAGGGCCTCACGCCGTGGTGCGCCAACTCCACGATCTTGTGCCGGATGTGGTTGGGCAAGGGGCGCCCGTTGATGAACACTCCCCCCAGCTGGTTCACGCGACCCTGGCCCAGAGGGGTCGACACTGCCCGGGACAAGAGGGGGGGGGGAGGGGGGGTCACAAAGTGGGGGGGGGGGGGGGGCGTTAGGTTCTCGGTCGCGGCAGTGGTGCAGGTGACCTGTGGCGCATTCAGAATTGGCATCCCTGTTGAAATTTAGCCGAGGTTTTACTTTGTGTTGTTGTTACTTTTATCAGCGAAGGTCTCTGTTTTTACAAATGTTGACTTGTATTGACTGCCTCCGCACCCTCCCTGGGACGTTTCTAGATCCGTCTCTGAAGGGAACGATGTGGATAGTGATGGTGGTAGTGATGGTGAGAGTGGTAGTGGTGGTGGTAGTTGTGGTAGTGATGGTGAGAATGATGGTGGTAGTGATGGTAGTGGTGGTAGTGATAGTGGTGGTGGTAGTGGTGGTGGCCGTGTTTATCCTGCCGTTGCTATTTGATTAATTAATTTAAGGGATATATTTATTGTATTGTTTGTTGTTGTTGTTGTAACTTGCCGACCCGCCCCTACTGGACATCTGTGAAAAAGAGCTTCATAGCTCATCGGATTCCTCCTCCCGCAGTCTAAATAAAGATGTTGATTCTGATCAGTATTGCACCTGCTTGATCATCCTTTGACATGGAACATCTCGTCGTTGCAAGGACGTCCCGTGTGTCGATCGACGCGTACACAACGCACGCGCGTAACGACGCGTGTACACCTCCATCCCATAGAGTCTTCATTCATACAATCACTCCCAGCCAAACACGCGCACACACACACACGAGTGTGTGTATATATAGTATTCATACATACGCGATGCACACTGCGGGTTCACGAGAACGCACTCGACCCGTGACAGCCGCAAGTGTTGTGTGCGAGTGAGTTTTAATTAGTCGGTGTGATGGCGGTGTGGTGATCACGATTAGTGTTAATTGTGATTGTTATTATTGTGTTGTGTTTAGGGTTTATTCTGATTATTGTTATTATTGTGACTATTGTGTTTGTTGATATTACTGCGTTTGTGTGTATTGTTAGTGTGTTTATTGTGTTTCTTCGTTGTGTTTACTGGGGCGGAAACTTTGCTCCCCCATCACCTAACCTGCGGACAAGACGCATTCGTTATATCCAGCAGTGGATCGACCAAGGACTGTCCGTGACTGCACTATACCGACGATAGACTTCTAACAGTAATTGTTAAGGACATTGTTTGTTTGCTTTGTTTAACGTGTACAACTTGTATTACCTTACGTGAATTTAATTCCGGGCCGAGGTGAGCCACACTGGTGAAGTATGGTCAAATAAAGTTGTGTGAGAGGAGAAGGCTTGATTCATCCAGCAGTGGATTTGCTCAAAGGACTGCACAAAATCTGTACAGTATTCATGATATGTGTGTGTGTGGTATGAATGAACTGTTATATATATTGTTGGTTAGATGCTGGGAATTTATATCAGGGGTCATTAGAGTCCCCGGGTTTGGAATCCGCGCCGTGTTTTTACAATTATTGACACGGGAGGTTCATCCCCCCCGTGTTCACTCACACGGGTGCTTGAGTTGCCATCATTTTGCACATCCAGAAAATAAACCCAAGGGCCGAAATGATTACGCTTCGTTAACTATTAACAAAATAATTTAAAATATCACCGACACGTTCATTTATTTTTCTGCTATAATGCGGAGATATAATCTCTCTTTCCGACCCGTTCATGCTCGTGTTAAAATAATTAATTAGATCCCACACGCATTTTGTCATGTAATTAATTTAGTTGAGTTTTAGTTCGTTGACTTTGGTTGAGTTTTAGTTAATATTGGCGCGCCTTCGTTTGTTTATTTATTTGAGCCGACATTGACGTGACCTGTTTTCTTTTTCGTATCAATGTTGTCAGCCGACCGAGTGGCCCTGAAAAAGAGCTCCTTAGCTCTGCGGGCTCTAGTCAGTGGGGACTCCACTCCTGCTTCTGATTCTGACGATAAGTAACGCACCCCCAGAAGGGAGTGTGGCTGCTGGGATGTGTCAAGCGATAACTAGGCGGTAGATTCAACGTGGGGAGTGAATAAGGAGGAGGAGGAGGCGCGGGCCTGACTCTGCCCGCGACTGCCGAAGTCGCGGGCCGGGACCAGGGAGACTCCGAGGGGTGTCGCCCGGGGACTCCGGGCTCCCGTTAGCGCGCGGGACGTGGCCCGCCTCAAGGTGTCCTCCACCTGGTCTACGCACGCGTTCGTAATGATACGAAAAATGTAAAATGTAATCTCGTACGTTACCATTCCTTCTACCTTCAGATTTAGATTAAACACTACAAGGAGCCTAAATGTATGACGGGAGCGCTTGCTAAGCGCGCGAGCGTGAGAATTAACAATCTCTGTGCCGGTGTCGTCTTGAGATGGGGATGGTGGGGGGGGGGGGTGCTATGACCCCGGCACGCACGGCGCTACTCTTGTGAAGCGTCTCACCGGCTCTCAAACGTCAACACGCAGCGGGGAGTGGGAGTGGGGGGGGCAGCACATTCCTCGATGGAGATTATCGGCAGGGGGTTGGAATTGAACCGGGAAGTGAAACCCGCAGGGCTCGGTACGCCAGGCCCCTGTGTGGTGAATCCAGGGGGGGGGGGGGCTTGCTGCGGGGTTAATCAACATTGTTGTCATCATCATTCATCATGATTACAACAACAACAATAATAATCATTGCGGCATCGCCATAACGGGTGGAGATAACGGGCCCCGCGATCGCTCCGTGCGTCTCGCTCCGTCGGGACGATCGCGTTCACGGCGACATGACGCGAACACATTTACTGGTGACTGACGACACACCAGAGACGCCGGGCGAGGAGGAGGAGGCGTAGCGCGTGATTCATCGCTCCCTGGGTGCGAGACGGCTGCGCTACACCGCGCGTGTTTCTATCGCGTCGCGATGTGTTTATTAAATTGCGGCCCAGCACTCCCTTGAGAGACGAGGCGGCTGGGTCCCTGAACGCGCCACTCGCCCGGTGTTTACATCAACGGCGAATGGAGTTTCGTGTCGTCAGAAAGCTGACACTCGGCTGCGTGAATTCCACTCACTCGCGCCTGTACAACACGCGCCACGCATCGGATATCATCAGCAGCGACTGTGCGCGCGCATTCCGGGTTACAATTACACATTTACTGGGGGAGGAGGAGGAGAAGGGGGTGTCTCAATAAAATAAATACCTATATTTAAAAATTACTTAAGAGCTTAAATTATTGCTAAGATGTTAATCTCCGCGCGTGTCACCAGCACGGCCCCGACGTCAAAGAGACGTTCACAGGTGGCAACAGTCGCCTTGGGTTGCTCGGACGTAAGCGGGGTAACTGCGCAACCCTGCGGCGATGTTGGCCAAGGACGACCCCGGCAGGTCGATGGAAAAAGACGCCCCGGGGATTTGCCTGCGTTGGCAGCACGGAGCGAGTGTGCCTACCAAGCAAAACGGGCAGCAGTGGTTCGATGATGATCGAGGATTATTTTTAAAGGTATTATTTGGGGTGATGCTGCATGCTGCGTTGGCAGTGGTGCACAAGTACAATTGATGATATTAATAAGAATTACAAACAAACCTCAACGCGTTTGTCAATAACTCTGTGTGGCCTTTAAACATTCATATTACATATATATGTGTGTGTGCATGTGCCTTCCCTTTAAAAGGTAGCGCGTAATTGACGAATTTGTTCAGAGTTTGTGTTTTGTGTAAGTGTTGATGCAGGCAGAGTACGAGGGCAGGAGACAGAACAGAGGCAGGGATAAGTGGGAAGCTGCTGATGATATAGTAATGCGAGGCCAAAAAAACACAGACACACGCACACAGACAGACACACGCGCACAGACACACGCACACAGACAGACACACACGCACAGACACACGCACACAGACAGACACACGCTCACAGACACACGCACACAGACAGACACGCTCACAGACACACGCACATGCGAACAGAAAGACACGCGTACAGACACACACGCACACACACACACACACAGACACACGGACACACACACAGACACACGGACACGCGCGCGCGTGCACGCCAAGCGTGGTGGGACGCGGAGAGTCGGGTCGCGGCCCCGATTCAGCCGTGATTATTCCCAGTCATGTTGCGCCTAATCCTTTCATCAAATCCGTTTGCTAATCATGTTCCACCTCGCGAGCCGCAGCCCCTCTAGTCGAGCACTCGAGACGCGTGTAGATGCGGGGGCCCCGGGAGGAAACACGCGGGCTGGAACGCATAGCCCGAGGCGAGAGTTGTCACTCGCCGAGACAGTTTCACTCGCCGAGAAATAGACTCGCTCGCCAGGGAATAATCTCACTCGCTGGGGAATTGTCTCACTTGCTGAGACACAGACTCACTCACTGACATAGTCTCACTCGCTGAGACAGAGTCTCACTCGCCGTGTGGTCGTAGTCCCACGCGCGCGTGAAACCCCAAATGTCGCGCCCGTGCCCATCGAGCTACCCACGTGGGCCCTCTCTCAGGTGGCGACGCTGCTGCGGCTATGCTGCTCGTGGTGCACAGGTGACGTGTGGCAGGTAACAATCTCAACACGTCCCGGGTCAATAATAATCCTGCGGCCTTGCACATTACAACTACACGTGTATAAATATATATATAAAGTGTGGCGCTGAGGGCCAATGGCTTTTTTGTGCACAGCACGCGGGATCCAGCTACTCAAGGCGCTCGTCACCGACTCTGCCGACAAGGCACAGGACTCGGCACGCGGTGGGTTGGTTGGACGTGGTCGCGGTCTAAGCTCCAGACGCCGGCGGACATCGTCGGGCAGGAAGATCCCACGCAGCGAGTGGCTCTGAGTGGACAGGGGAAGTTCTCCACCCAGCCAGGGCGCTTGGGGTTGGGGGGGCGCGGGGGGCCACGCTGCACCCCCCCCCCCCCCCCACAATGCGGCGAGGTAATGCACTGCTTGGGTGGGGGGGGGTAATCATTAGAGGCGCTTTAACGTGTTCGTTTGTTTGTTTTAACCTTTAATAACAACAACAACAAACAACGACACGGGGCTCGGCTGGATTAACAAATCCCAGGATAACCCGACGCACGCGCGCACACGCTCTGTTTAGACCACAAACACACAGAGCACCACCACTGCCACCACCCACCACCACCAGTCGACTCACCTTCCAGCGGGAAGCCGCTTCGGGGGTAGTTCTGTCCTGGTGCCGGGCGCATCATCCTGAGAACTCTGCTGCATAAACACCGCGCCGGCAAAGTGCTGCTGATGATACTGCTGCTGATGCTGCTTCTGATGATGTCTATCGCTCTGGCTGATGCTGCTGCTTTTGCTGCGCGTTCAATAAACCGCGCTGAAAGTTGTAATACTTTCTCTCGCCTTGTCGTCGTTGTTGTTTGTGGTTGTTGTTGTTTATGGTTGTTGTCGTCGCTTTGTTCTCTATGATCGTGGAAATCGCTCCTCGCACGGAGCACGGAGCGAGCCGAGCGCGGCGCTCAGCTGCGAGCCGAGCGAGTAACTTCCCTTCCCACTCCTCCTCCTCCTTCTCTCTCACTCCTCCTCCTGCTGCTGTTGCACAACTTCTGCCTGGGTGTGTGTGTGTGTCTCTTGCCTGCCTGTGTGTGTGTGTGTCTCTTGCCTGTGCGTGTGTGCGTCTGCCTGCCTGTGCGTCTGCGTGTTAAAGAGTTTCTCTGTCTCCGTCGAAACGGCGGTGGGCACGGACGCCGCCGGCTGGGCGGGGGGGTGGGCGGGGGGGGGGTGTGGGCGGGGTGGCTCTCGCCCGGCTCCCTGCTTCGCGTTCACACCGCCGCCTCTGCCACGACAACAACAGCAGCAGCTCTCTCGCGCTCTCCACCCTCCTCCGAGTGCCTCTTCCCTCTCGTCCATGCGAGCGCCAACTTTCCCCAAGTGTCTTCTCGTTGTGTCTCCCCCTCGGCTCCCATTGGCTGCGAGGTCGGGGGGGGGGGGGCAGTCGGCCATGAGAGGGCAACCCTCGCCTCCGATTGGGCCACGGCTCGCCGGAGAGGTATGTCGTGGTGGTCCTGTCGGTCGTGGTGGTCATCTCGGCCGTCTGGGCCACTTGGAAGAATTTCTCATTGCGCCGCGCACTTTGCGATGTTACGAGATTCTGTCGGTGACAATTTAATGTGAAGTTCAATTCCGCTACTTTCACTTGTTAACACAACAAGATGAAGTCTGTCGGTGCGTAGGAGAGCGAGCTTGTGGACGCGCCGCGACTAAGATAAGCCGACGAGAACAGGTCGCATTTTCACATTGTATCTCCCGATCAACACAAGTTTTAAAGTCGGTTTTTAAAACTTCATCATCTCCATCATCATCGGACACACACGGGATTTTTAGGAGTCATTTTTTACACACTCGAACCGTGGACCGCAGGTGATCAAGATAAATCTATCACCAATAGCCCAATAGCAATGTGAATATTGAGTTAATTGGATGGGGGGGGGGGGGGTGTCACGGAATACCGCATGACAGTAATAATTAGTGTAGGCGTCGGTCGTTCTGCAGAACGCGATCCACGTGTGCGCATCTTTAACGCATCTGTGACTCGCACACCACACACGTGTATATAGGTGCACTTTGAGTTTTTTTACTTTGAACATTTTAAATATAATTGCAAGTATTGATGCCATTGTAATAAAATATTCGTTTGCCCAATTAGCGGTTTGATAAATGTGTGAATGTGTGAATGTGTGTGTACGCGAATGGGTAGCGGTAGTGTAATGGTTAGGGCACTGCGCCACAAACCCGGCGACCCCAGTTGACGACTACTTACATCAGCGGCGAATATTTAAACCGGTCATGGGCCTCCCCTAGTACGACTCAGCCTTAAACGAGTACCTGGTACGGTGCGGTGTTTAAAACATCAGAACCGGGGAGACAAAGGCGGCCGGGCGTGGTGTTGGCCACCCACCCCATCGTGTATCGTGGCAGCTTTCATCGGTGCTCGCTAACAGCACTTGCCCCAACAGTTTGTGAAAGGCTACACGGTGTGTCTTTGTCCCTCTGGCTGGAGAATCCGTGATCACACAAACACGTGGGGCTCAATCATCCTCGACACCCGGGGGCTCCGTTCACGTGGAGTCTCAACGAGCATAAATCACCCTCCACACCGCGACCGCGAGGATGGTGTGGTCACAACTGTCACACCGAGTCACCGACTCTCATCGCTGGGAACAAAGTTGCTACCTCGCACCGGTCCCATGCAACTCAAATGCTGACGCAATAACATGTTGAGTAAAATACGTCACAATTATCAATTATAACAATAATAATAATTATTATTTACAGCCCGCTGTCAAGCCTCTCCAAAAAAACCCCTGTCGGTCACGTGGAGTTGTTTGACCATACTTCCCCACGATGGTCAGGGCGGGTTTATTGTGCAGTGTGCCAACCGCTGTGCCAGCGCTCCCTTGTAACGTATTACACAATAATGCAATTCCATATGTTTTCTAAATGTTGCTCCGACGAGCGGCCCATGCATGGTGTAGAGAGAGAGAGAGTACGTGCCAATGCATGCCGGTAAACCAGCGGATTTTATTTCGCACGCCTCACTACTGATGAGCCCCAGAAGAGGGGAACCCTGCCCGTGTTGAAAGGCGTGCTGCGAATCGCAGCGTGGAAGGCCGACGGCGGGTCGATGGAACTGAACATCGTTCGATTTCGGGTGGTGGGAGAGACGCACCGGGAGGTGATTTCACGGCGGTGTCAGCGCACCGAGACCGGAGAAGCCGCGCCGTGGGGGATGCGATGACATGCGCGCATGTCATCGCATGTATGTACGCATGTCATTGCATGCATGTATGTGTATACGCATGTCATTGCATGTATGTATGTATGTAGAGAGCGGTGGTGCAGTGGTTCGCGCACCCCGCTACAAATTGAGTTCGATTCCCGCTTACGGCCAACATCGGTGACGATTTTCTGAACCACTCCCCCAAGTCGACTCAGCCTTACGCGAATACTTGATGCGGTGTGTAAACATCAGAAACTGCGGGAAACAAAGGCGGCCAGGCGTGGTGTTGGCGCACCCAGCCCCGCGTGTGCCGTGCCGATCTTCAAAAGGTGTTCGCGAACAGCACTTGCCCCGACAGTCTGTTAAAGGCTACCCGGGGGATCTTTGTCTGTGTCGTACAACACTTGTGTTCCACGCGAATTACCGCGCCCACTCAGGGTGGCATGAGGATGTTGTACGCGAACGGCACCCACACCGGCACACACCAGCGGACCTCCATAGGCGCTCGCTTACAGCACTTGCCCCAGGAGCCGTAAGCAGCCTACACGGGGGATCTTTGTCTTTGTGACATGTATACGCGGTACGTGGTGTGATGGTTGATGAGCTCTGCGAGAGAGATGACGACGTTGCCGCCACCACCACCACAAAGATTCCACGCAGAGCCTCGCACAGACTGTTGGGGCACTACCATCATCATCAACAACAATTACGGCAAATCGCCGAGGGGGTGCGATGTGTGTCGGCTGTTGATGTGGCCGAACGCGCATGTGTACACATGCACCTGTACACATGCGTGTGCACGCGGGTGCACGTGTGTGTGTGTGTCACACGTGTTTCTTTTGCGATGCTGCTGCGTTGACAGCGGTGCATACACGCGGACACAACACTCAGCACGTAGGTTCGTAACATTGTCATCTTTTAAAGGGAGGGGTTAATATAAGTATATATACAATAGACGACGTTTCGGCCAACGGCCCATTTTTATTCGTAAGTAACGCGTAGCGAGTTTTTAAATGCAGAGTCTAACTTTGTGAACTTGACTCGTGTGGCTGTTTGTCCATACTTCGTCGCGCTGGTCAATGCGGCGAAGAGGGGAATATGCACCGATAATGCGTTTCTTCGCCGATGGGAAATGTGACATTGTAGGCGTGTGCACACGTGTGTACGCGTCTGTGTGTATTGTGTATGCAGGTATGTATGTATGCATAGGTGTATATATATGTGTGTGTACGTGTTTGTATTTAACAGCACTTGCCCCTACAGTCTGTTAGGCTAAATGGGGGATCTTTATCTTTGTGTTTGTGTATATGTTTGTCTATGTGTAGGTGTGTATATGCGTGTGAAACTGCGTATGTGTAAATGTGTGTAAATATGCAAGAGCATATGTTTTGTGTGTATGTTTTTATGTATGTTTATGTGTGTGTAAATGTGTAAGTGCACGTGTGTTTGTCTATGTATGGGTGTATGCGTGGTGTGAGCTTATAGTATGTGCATGCATGTGTGCACATAATACGTATCCGTCTTTATGTCTATGCATAAGTGTGTATATAGTTTGTGTATTATATGCCAAAGTGTGTATGCATGCTTGTGTGTATTTGGGTATATGTATATATGCGTATGGGCGTTGTGCTGGTCACCGACCCCCTCGTGTGCCGTTCCGGCCTTCATTAGGTGCTGCTCGCCAACAGCACTTGCCCCTGCGATCTGTGAAGGCTACGCAGGGGATCTTTATTTGTGTAAATATGATCACGCGTATTTCCCGCACAGGCTGTTGGGGCGAGTGCTGTTCACGAGCACCGATTGGGTACCATATTCTACGGCGCACGAGGGTGTGATGCGGCAGAGTTCATGCTCGGCCGCCTTTGTCTCCCCCAGTGCTGACGTCAGCATACCGCACCAGGTTTACTCGTCGAACCGGGGAAGGGCCAGGTCAAGATCTGAGACAACTCGCCACTGATGTGAGCCGTGGTCGGGGATCAAACTCAGGTGCTCGAGTTCGTTGCCGAGGTCGCGATCCACACGGTCTGTATCGCACGTGTGTGTGTGTACAGGTCACTAACAGCACTTGCCCCAACATCATGTGGAGGCTATACGGGGGGGGGGGGGGTCTTTGTCTTAATTATGTGTGCGCGTGTGCTGGAGCGGTTAGCGCACTGCGCTACAAATCCGGCTACCCGAGTTCAATTCCCGCTCATGGCCAACGCCAGTTGCGAAAATCTAAACCGGTTCTGGGCTTCCTCTAGGTCGATTCGGCCTCAAATGAGTACCTGGTGCGGTGTGTAGAAAACATCAGCACCGGGGAGACAAAGGCGGCCGGGCGTGGTGCTGGCCACCGACCCCTTCGTGTGCTGTGCCGGCCTTCATTAGGTGCTCGCGAACAGCGCTTACCCCAACAGTCTGTGAAGGCGACACGGAGGGGATCTTTGTCTGTGTGTTTTATCGTTGTAGACGCCGTCTCTCTCCCCGATGTTTGTAGACTCGGAAACTGAGAGCCTGAATCGGAGTCTCCGCTCCGCGCGATCATCGCGGAGAAGTGTGAATGGGAATGAAGGGGGCCGCGATTGGCGATTGCATCTGTAATCATCTTTGTTATGTTTTTTTGTTAACTTTCTAAAGCGATGATTCGCTATTTATTTATTTGTCTTAAACTTCCAACCGAACGGCGGGGAGGCGCTTCTTCTTCGCTATTAAAACCCCGCTTTTGTGGCGCGTTTAAATCGGCG